GTGCAGTTCCCCTCTCCAAAGGGAATTGGTGTTATTTTCTTGAAACGTGTTTTAGGTTAATACTTCTCTAAAGGCCTAATTTTGTTTGGCTTTGTTTTTAAGATTGGCATTAGTAAATGAATCTGATCTGTTCTTGTTACTTTTATACTTTGATAAATATCTCATTTCCATTCCGTACCCTATGCTGCTCTTTTCTGTCATTTTCTCCTCTACTTCCTAATTGATGGAATTCCTCAAGTGAAGAATTTTTAAGAATATGTCTTCTTTATTTTCAGTCTCTCCATTAGTAACCAAAGTAAATTTCATTGCTTCAGGTACCAATATCTTGCACAGCTTCTCTTTTTACCTCTAGTCCTATATCTCCTGCTATTTACTGAGCAGTTTTGCTTGGATTCCTGACTTTTCCCAAAAATGTAACTCAGTATCTTACCCCACTCATACTTTCTCTTTGTGTTATCCTTTTTTTCTCATAATACCATTATTACCTTAGCAGTTACTCATATTTGAAACCATAGGTCTTTTTAGACCTCTCTCTTTTTCAGCCTTACCTACCCAACCACAAATGATTAGGCAGTTGTGTTCATATATACACATAAACACAAAATTAGCTGTAAAGTCTCCAACAAAATCAACTTTGGTGTAGTATCTTTCTTACAGTTTTCTTTTCACACCTCCTGACATTTCTTAGTTCATATATGTGAAAACTAAGAGTATGTATAACACATAACAGATTCTCAATAAATAGTTTCTTCCCATCATAGTTCAGGCTGCTATGACAAAAATGCCATAAAACTACTCAGCTAATAAACTACAGAAATATATTTCTCACAATTCCTGAGGATGGGAGTTTGAGATCAGTGTGCCAGAATGATCAAGTTCTGTAAGAGCCCTCTTCTGGGTTGAGGACTACAAATTTTGTTTGAGTCCTCAAATAGTGGAAAGGGGCAAGAAAGTTCTCTGGAGTCTCTTTTATGGGGGTACTAATCCCATTTTTAAGGGCTCCTCCCTCATGATCTAATCACTCCCCAAAGGCCTCAATTCCGAATACCATCACATTCCCTTCTTTTTTCTCTTTTATTCGTTTCCTTCATGTTCCCTACATCCTATATTTGCTTGCTTCTGAGATAAGTTCTCTACCTCTAGTGCCTCTCTTCTATGTGTCACCCTGAACTTTGATATCAAATTACTCTTCCTATAGCATAACTGTAATTTCACTCTTGAGCTCAAAGACTTCAGGTCCTCTTCACTTTCACTATAAGGTTCAATGTTTCTGCCCACCCATTTCTCCCTTCATACACCTCTTTCCTTGGTCTACAATATTAGCACCTAGCAGAATTAGAAATTACTTATGTGGGCCAGGTGTGGTGGCTCACACCTGTAATCCCAGCACTTTGGGAGGCTGAGGTGTGTGGATCACCTCAGGTCAGGAGTCTGACCAACATGGTGAAACCCCATCTGTACTAAAAATACAAAAATTAGCTGTGTGTCATGGCGCACACCTGTTATTCCAGCTGCTTGGGAGGTTGAGATAGGAGAATTACCTGAACTTGGGAGGCGGAGGTTACAGTGAGCCGAGATCGTGCCACTGCACTCAAGTCTGGTTGATAGAGTAAGACTCCATCTCAAAAACAACAACAACAACAACAACTCTCAAGTATACACTTGGTTATGGGGAAAAAAGAAAAAAGAAATTACTTATGTGATCCCCTCAATAGGCTGTAAAGTCCATGAGGACAGAAACTTTTTCCATTTTGTATAGCCAGAGCCCAGAAGATAGATTATGTGATGGGTAATTTCATGTGTCAGTTGGACTAGGCCATGAGATACCCAGATACTTGTTTAAACATTACAGATGTATCTGTGGTGATGTTTTTGATTCCTTGATTTTTATTTTTAGTGTATCCATTGTAGGTTTTTGCTCCATAAAAACATGAATATAACAGGTTGTTTTAGACTGATAACAAGTTAACTTGGATTATATACACATACGCAAACTACACTTTAACTCCCCTTCCTTGCCTCCACATTTTGTGCTTTCAGTTTCAGAATTTACATCTTTTTTTATTGCATGTCCACCAACAAGTTGCTATTGTTACTATTTTTAATACTTTTATCTTTTAGCCCTACTGAAGATAAGTGATTTACACACCCCCATTACAGTATTTAAACACTACCATTATAGTATCAGAGTATTATGAATTTGACTGTACTTATTTTTACCAGTGAGTTTTATACTTTCAGATGTTTTTGTGTTTTTCATTAGTGTCCTTTTCTTTCACCTTGAAGAACACCCGTTAGCATTTCTTGTAAGACAGGTCTGGTGGTGATGAAGGCTCTTAGATTTTGTGTGACTGGGAAAGTCTTTATCTCATGTTCATTTCTGAATGACAGTTTTGCTGAGTACAGTATTCTTGATTGACAGTATTTTTTATCCTTTAGCACTTTGCTGAAGGATCTTCCTGCTAGGCATATTGGAAGGTCTGGTGGGCTGCTTCAGTGATATTTTAAGCGGGTGGATATCATACCACTCTTCCCTGGCCTATAAGGTTCCTGCTGAGAAATCTCCTGCTAGGCATATTGGAACTCCCTCATATGTTACTTGTTTCCTTTTTCTTTCTGCTTCTAGGATCCTGTCTTTGCCTTTGATCTTTATAGTTTGATTATAATATGTCTTGTGGTAGTCTTATTTGGATCAAATCTGACTGCAAATCTTTGACCTTCCTGTACTTGGGTACTTATATATCTTTCTCCAGGTTTGGGACGTTTTCTGCTATTACTACTTTAAATAAGCCTTTTATAACCTTATCTTTTTCTACTCCCTTTTGAATGCTGGTAACTTGCTTATTTGCTCTTTTGATACCATCCCATAAATCCTATAGTTTCTTTATTCCTTTCCATTATTTTTTGTTTGTTCTCCTCTGACTGTATATTTTCATATAAGCTATAAATCTTCAAGTTTACAGATTCTGTCTCCTGATTGATCAGTCCTGCTGTTGATGCTCTCTGTTACATTTTTTCATTCATTGTATTTTTCAGCTCTAAAATTTGTCTGATTTTATTATTTCAATTTCTCTGTTAAATTTCTCATTTATTATTTATTATATATTATTCTATTATTTTCCTGATTTTTCGGAATTGTTTCTCTGTATTTTCTGAAATTCTTTGAGCTTCTTTAAAACAGCCATTTTTATTTTCTTGGCATATAGTTCATATATCTCTGTCTCTTTAGGGTCAGTCACTGGCATCTTATTTTGTCTGTTCAGTAAAGTCATCATTCCCTGATTGTTCTTGATCCTGTGGTCATGTATCACTGTGTGTGCATTGAAGAAACAGTTACTTATTCTAGCCCTCACAGCCTGGCTTTGTCTGGGAACATCATCTAACAGTAACCCTGTCCAGAGATTCTAGGCAGGTCATTTGGTGTGGTCTCTGAGCCTGTGACCACTCCAGCCCTTGCAGCTCTAGGGAGTGCCCAAAACCCAGGACTACTGTGGCCAGCACAGTCCCATGGCCATGGAAGCTGCTGACCTAGCACTGGGCTGGAATCCTATGGCTGCTGAGGCTGGTGCAGCTCTTGGGTGCACCCAAAGCCCATAGCTACTAAGGCTAGTGCAGCACTGGGGTACATCTGAAGCCTGCAGCCACCGAGGCCTGCCTGTTGCTATGGGTTATTTGGAGCCCAGGACCACTGTAATTGGCTGATGGTGATGTGGACTGGAACTCAAGTTTGTCTCACAGGGTCTATGGTTTCCCAGCTGATGCTGGAACGGGTCTAGTCTCAGTCTGCAGTTACTGGCCTGAAGTCAGGGGCCATGGGGATTCTGCCCAGTGTTGAATTTTACTGTGACAGGCCTGGTATTGTATCCAAGGCAGAGTCTTAAGTTTACTTTCCTCTCTTCCTCCCAAGCAGACAGTATATCTTTTTCTATGCTGTGCTGCCTGGTCTTAGGGGAGGGGTGACATGGGTAATGTAAAACTGTTCTTCCTACCCCCTTAAATGTGTCTTTTCTTCTATAACCAGGTGCTGTAATCTCTCACCTGATTTCCTTAGCTCTTGTGAAGCTATTTTTATACATGGATAGTTGTTCAAATTCATGTTTCTCTGGAGGGAAAATTGCTGGAGAATCCTATTCTACCATCTTGCTCTAGTTTCCTCTGTGAGGGTGTTTTAGATGGTATTGATATTTGAATGGGCAGACTGAGTAAAGGAGATTGCCCTCCTTAATGTGGTTGGCCCTCATTCAATCAATCGAAGGCCCAAAAAGTATAAAAATTTGACCCTCCAGTGAAAAAGAGGGACCTCCTCCTGCCTAATTTCCTTGAGCTGGGATATTAGTCTTTCCTTGCCTTTGAACTTGAAATGAAATATCAGCTCTTCCTAGGTATAGAGCCTACTGACTTTCAGACTGAAAATATACTATCAGCTCTTCTGGGTCTCCAGCTTGCTGACTATAGCTTCCATAATTGTGTAAATAAATAAATAGGCTGGGTGTGGTGGCTCATGCCTGTAATCCCAGCACTTTGGGAGGCTGAGATGGATGGATCACCTAAGATCAGGAGTTTGAGACCAGCCTGCCCAAGATGGTGAAACCCTGTCTTTACTAAAAATACAAAAATTAGCTGTGTGGGGTAGCGGGTGCCTGCAATCCTAGCTACTCGGAAGGCTGAGGCAGAAGAATCACTTGAACCTAGGAGGTGGAGGTTGCAGTGAGCTGAGATCGCACCACTGCATTCTGGCCTGGGCGACAAGAGCAAAACTCCATCATACACACACACACACCATCTTGGCCAGGCTGGTCTCAAACTTCTGACCTGTGATCCACCCACCTCAGCCTTCCAAAGTGCTGGGATTGCAGGCATGAGCTATCACACCCAACCTAAATATATATTTGTATATATTTAATTAAATATATAGGTATAAATGTATATATGTACATATCTTACCTATCTATCTATCTATCTATCTATCTATCTATCTATCTGTCTGTCTATCGCATCTATCTATAATTAGTCCTATTTCTCTGAAGAACTCTAATACAGATTGTGGTACTAGGAATGGTGTGCTGATATAACAGAAAAATACCTAAAAATATGGAATTAGCTTTGGAACTGGGTGATGGGTACAGGCTGGAAGAGTTTTGAGGTACCTGCTAGAAAAAGTCAACATTGCTGTGAACAAAGTGTTGGCCGAAATATGGATGTTAAAGGCAATTTTGATGAGGGCTCAGAAAGTAGAGAGGAGAGCTAGGAACAAAGCTTCCATTTTCTTAGAGAATACATAAATACATGAACAGAATATTGGTGCAAACGTGGATATTATGGGCCATTTTGGTGAGATCTCAGATAGAAATAAAGAACAGACAGTTGGACACTGGAAAGTGATCTTTATTATAAAGTAGCAAAGAATATAGCTGAATTGCATTCTAGTGTTGTGCAAGGTAGCACTTTCAAGTGATGAAATTGGATACATAGCAGAGGAGATATCTAAGTAAAGTATCAAAGGTACACCTTGGCTCCTCCTTACTGCTCATAGTAAACTATAAGAGGAGAGAGGTGAATTGAAGAAAGAATGGTTGAGGAAAAAGGAGCCAGAACATGGAGATTTAGGAAATTCTGTCTATCCGTATTGGAAAAATATATATATATATGGGAGAGAGAGAGAGAGAGGGAACACTTGTTTTGAAGAGAAAACTAAAGGTGTTGCTGAACAACCATTTGCTAAAGAGATCGTGGGTACAACTCATGGACTTAACCAGCCATCTCATCAGAAGCCAAGCCAAGAATAGAGATGGGATTTTACCAGCAGAAACACTGCCAGCTGAGACTAAAGACTAAAGGAGACAGAGAGAGTGAGACCGGATGAAGGAAAGCTATCAGGATGGGACTATAGAACTATTTGGCTCTGGAAATACTTTATCCTTCAAGGAAAGGGAAGACTGACCCCAACGGCAATTCAGAGATCTTCAGAGCTGTCCTGCCAGCCCCACTACAGGCCCAGAGGTAGGTCTGACTCCTCCCGTTTTTCAAAGAGTGGGTCTGCCCTTCCAGTTTTGGTGGGTCAGGACTCCTTGCCTACTACGTCAGGCTCAGGGTTGCCCTGGGAGAGCTTGTGAACTGGCTTTACTCCTTAAGCTAAAGGGTCAAGGCTACTCTGTACAGCTGTGAGAATGATACTACCACCCAGTGGGCCTCGGGGGCAGAGAATTAAACCAAAGAGGATTATTCCCTAGCTTTAAGATGTAATGGAATTTTCCTTGCTAGGTTTTGGACTTGTTACAAGACCCACCACCTCTTCCTTCTTTGCTATTTCTCCCTTTTGGAGTGGGAATGTCTATCCTAGGCCTTGTCCCATCATTATATTTTAGAAGCCCATGACTTGTCTGGTTTCACAGGTTCATATCTGGAGAGAATTTCGCCTCAGGATGAATCACACCTCAGTTCTCTCCCATACCCAATTTAGATGATTTTTTTTTTTTTTGAGACGGAGTTTCACTCTTGTTACCCAGGCTGGAGTGCAATGGCACGATCTCGGCTCACCACAACCTCCGCCTCCTGGGTTCAAGCAATTCTCCTGCCTCAGCCTCCTGAGTAGCTGGGATTACAGGCACGTGCCACCATGCCCAGCTAATTTTTTGTATTTTTAGTAGAGATGAGGTTTCACCATGTTGACCAGGATGGTCTCGATCTCTCGACCTCGTGATCCACCCGCCTCGGCCTCCCAAAGTGCTGGGATTACAGGCTTGAGCCACCGCGCCCGGCCTGGATGATATTTAATGAGACATTGGACCTTAGGCTTTAGAGTTGATGTTGTAATAAGTTAAGACTTTTAGTGCATCAGGATGGGATGAATGGTGAATGTGTTTGTATGTAAGAAGGACATGAATTTTGGAGGCCATATGCCCCACTCTTAGTACCAAAATCTGTATTAGTCTACAGGTATTGCTATAACAAAATGCCACAGACTGGGTGGCATGAGCAGCAGAAATTTATTTCTCACACTTCTGGAGGCTGAAAAGTCCCAGATCAAGTTCTGGTCTGTTTGTTTTCTTGTGAGGGTTCTCTTCTTGGCTCACTGTAGGCCACCTTCTCTCTGTTTCTCACATGACCTCTTTGTATGCATGCAGAGATAGAGAGTAAACTCTCTGGTGTTTCTTCTTACAAGGGCACTAATTTCATCAGACCAAGGCCCCACCTTCATAACGTCATCTAACCCAAATTACTTCCCAAAAGTCCCATCTCTAAATACCATTGCATTGGGGGTTAGGGCTTCAACATACGTATTTTGGGGGGACATGGGCCACAAAAATATTCGGTTCATAATAGCATATTATAGGCACCCAATAAATATTGTTTTAAGTGAATAAATATTCTGCTAAAGGTATCAAAGAAGGGAAAAGTGACATTTAAGATTGTATTAGTCATTTTTGTGTTGCTATAACAAGATCTGAGGCTGGGTAGTTTCTAAAGAAATTTATTTAGCTCTGCATTCCAGGTCTAGGAGGAAAAAAAAAAAAAGAAATTTGTTTAGCTCACGGTTCTGCAGGCTAAGAAGTATGGCACTGGCATCTACTTGGCTTCTGGAGGAGGCCACGGGCTAGATCAAAATACGGCAAGGAAGGCCAAAGGGGATGTGGACATGTGGGAAGACACACCGAATGAGAAAACTTGCTTTGTAATAACTCACTTTCTTGGGAACTAATCTGTTCCCGGAGAACTAACCCAGTCTCTAGAGAGCAAGAACTCATTTCATGATAACAGCACCAAGCATGAGGGATCCACCCCTTTCACCCAAACACCTCTCACTAGGCTAGGCCCCAACTCCCAACTGCCACATTTGGGATCAAATTTCGACAGGAGTTTTGTTAGGGACAAACAAACCATATCCAAACAATAGCAGGGATGGAATAGGTCAGATTTGCACTTACTTAAAAAATATATATTTATTGTCTATTACATGCTTCCTCTGAACTCCCAAAATACATTTTCTGGGACTTTTTCAAAACATATTACTTTTCTACTTTGTTTTATAGTATTATACTTGTCATAACTCATCTACTGGATTATAAGTATCTCAACATCAGAAGCTGTTTCTGATTTATTTTATATCCTGTACAGAATCTACAATGCCTTCTCTAATTCTATACATCAGAGAAAAGTAATATGTTTTCTCCTTTTGTATTAGACCACACCTCAGTTTCTATTTCTTCCCCACAATTACTATATTGCCATAATTATTCATTCTCATATCTGCTGCCTATGCTCAATTCTGAGTCCCCGAAGAGGGGGGACCATGTTCTAGCCATCTTTGTACTCCTGTATCTATAAGAGGGTTGGGCATATGATGGGCGCTTGTTAACTTATTTATCCACCCAATACAATACCTGAAACGTGGTCAATGTCAAATAGAAAGTTGAAGTGTTTGTTGAACAAGTTTCTAACTGATGTTGTCAATATTAACGGTCTGGCACCACTATTGCTGTGCAACACCACTGGTATCAGCTAGGAAACCAATTCAATTGCTACTGCTGCTGCAGCTGCCACCACCAGAAACAGCCTACTTCCATCACAACCACCTTCATAGCTGCTAGCTAGATCCCAGTCCCTAGCATGCTGTGGTCACTGCTACCACCTCCACCGTTGACCTGCTTCCTGGAAAACCTGATTTGTTTGTGCTTTTTATCTCATCTTGATATATAGAAACCTGTTTCTTTTGAGCCCTATGCTGTTATTTTTTCTCCCAATCCTGATAGTTTCTGCATTATTCAACTTCCATCAAAGCATCAGTTGAGTGGGTGGTACTGCTTTGCTTCTCAGGGGGAATGTCACTTTGTGATTCAGTCAAGTGGCTGCCCTTTTTGCTGTCAGAAGGAGCATCTGCATTTATCTTCAGGGAACAATCTGTAGTAACACTAGCTTCCTCTCCTTAGCTGTGATTGATGGCTCATATGTATATTTTATGCACTCATTTGCCACCTTTCTGCCCACTCACATGGATTTATAAGATCTTTCCATCTTCATCAACTTAGTTCATTGCCACCCACAAGAACTGGGGTCATTTGTGAATGCAGAATTGTTGTCCTGCACTTTAATTTATAAAGATATTACATACAGATTATGCTCACTGTCCCCTACACAAGAATGCTGGGGCAACTGGGGGCTAAGGTCCAGCCTACACTTTGCTTGGCCCTTACGTCAGGCTGGATCTGCCTGGAGAAAGGTGCTTCTTTTTATGATTTGCATAAAAATTCTGGTCCATTACTAAGTGATGGGCCTACAGCAGAGTATTCACTTATAAAGGCACTCGGACTGGTAGCCCTGATTATGCAGTGCTGATCGTAGCATTGCTCTATCACTAAACCTGAGAGCCTCTTAGTCTGTGCTTTTCCGTCTTTCTGCCATTTTTCCCGACCAGTGGAAAACAGAACTTCAACAATGAAGAAAAGACCCAATTTTGTCAAATTTTGAAAAACATTCATAGCTGCAAAAAAATAGTTTTTGTACCTATGTTCTATCTGCTGCTGCTTCACAAACTACCCCAAAACTTGGTGTCTTGAAACATTGTTTTATTACATATCACAACTTTGTTGCTCAGGAATTTGGACATGGCTCCTCTGGTAATATCAACAGAGATTACTCTGTGTTATTCAGCTGGTGAATGGGTTGATCTGAAGGGTTCAAGACGGTTTAATAAAAGAGGCCAGACCTGGTGACTCATGCCTGTAATCCCAGCACTTTGGGAGGCTGAGGCGGGTGGATCACTTGAGGTCAGGAATTTGAGACCAGCCTAGCCAACATGGTAAAACTCTGTCTCTACTAAAAATTAGACGGGCATGATGGCGGTCACCTGTAACCCCAGCTACTTGGGAGGCTGAGGCAAGAGAATTGCTGAATCTTAAAGGCAGAGTTTGTAGTGAGCTGAGATGGCACCACTGTACTCCAGCCTGGGTAATAGAGCTAGACTCAGTCTCAAAAAAAAAAAAAAAAAAAAAAAAAAGTTATTCAAGGGGCAGATGGTCCTGAGTATACCTGATCTAATCAAGTGAGCCCTTCACAGAGGTCAGAGAGATTGGAAGTGAAAGACATTTTTCCTGCTGGCTGTGAAAAGCAAATTGCGTATGGAGGGGCCTCATAGCGAGGAACTCTAGGAGCTTAGAGTGGTCCCTGGCCAACAGCCAGCAAGAAAATGTCCTACGACTACAAGAAACTGAATTCTAGTAGTAGGTGGACTTGGAAGACACACGAGCCTTAAATACCTTGATTTCAGTCTAATGAGATCCTTAATAGAGGACTCAGCTAACCTATGCTCAGACTTCTAAGTCTTGGAGACTGTAAGATAATAAATTTGTGTGATTTTGAGCTGCTAAGTTGGTGATAATTTGAAATAAAGCCAAAGAAAACTAAGAAAGCTACCTAAATAACAAGAATTAAAGGAGAATTCTCCCTCATACCATACATAAAATGGCAAATAGATTAAAAAACCTGAATACAGAAAACAAAAAACTTTAAACTTTTAGAAGAAAATATGAGAGAATATCTTGATGACTTTGTGATAGGGTAAAGGATAAGCTTATGAAGAAAAAGATCAGTTTGGCTACATTAAAAATTTTTAACTTACAGAAAAACACATACTACAAAAAAGTAGGAAGATAAGACATACTGGGAAAAGGTATTTGTGATGTTTAAAACTTACAGGTTAATATACAGAATACATGTAGAACTCCTACAGATCAATAAGAAAAAGACAACTGAAGAAAAATGAGCAAAGTATGTAAACAAGTTACTTGTAAAAGAAGTGCAAATGGAAGATATACATATGAAAACATTTTTAATCTCACCAATAAGTTAGGGGTGAGATTAAATTAAATTTAATCAAATTAAAACAACAATTAAATTTCATTTTGCACCTACAATATTGGCAACAATTTTTAATCCAGCAATACCAGTGAGGCATGAATGTCAAAAAATGCAATTGTAAATTGATTGAGCTACTGTAGAGAGCC